AGCAGCCGGCAGGGCTCAGCACCCTTACTGTGCCCTCCCCGCTGCAGCCCCTCCTGCATGCCAGGCTTACCTGTGCCAGCCTGGGCCACTGCCCTGATGGCTGCCAGGATGCTGCCCACTGCTGGGGAGGTGAATACGGCTCCTGCGATGACCCCGGTCAGCATCCCCTTCCCTATGAAACCTGGAGGTGGAAGGGGTAGAGTGAGCATGGCAGGTGGGACTTGCGCCTGTAGTCACTGGGGCTTCCCATGCTCCGGGGGTCATGGTTTGGTGAGCCCTACTGTGTGCTTGGTGCTCAAAGATCCCCCAGGTCTTCAAATGGCTGACTCCTTCTTAGGAGGCACCTTAGAGAGGCCTTCTGGGACCTCCCAGCCTGAAGCAGTCACCAACTCCCTCCCCAGGAACTCACTGTTCCTTTGCCCTGTTTTACTGTCTGTACTAAGTCAGTTAGCACCCTCTGAAATGATCTCATTTCCTTTCGTGTTTACCTGGCTATTGTCTATCTCCCCTAAGTAGAATAAAAGCTCCACGAGGGCAGGGACCTTGCCTGTCTGCTTCATTGCTGTATCCCTAGTGCCCAGTACAGTGCCAGGTACACAATGGGCTCATGAGTGTTTGCCAAATGAATGGATTTTGCTGAAGGAAGACAGGAAGGGGACAAATGATGCGCATCCTAGTCCCTGCCCTCCAGCAGCCCTCAAGGAGAGTTCGCGTCCCTGGCTCCAGGTGTGGGACACGGCAGGTGGGAATTCAGAAGAGGGGTGCTGCTCTAGGCTGGAAGAGTCAGGAAGCCTTCACGGAAGAGGGGGTGGGTCTGCTGGGCCTGGAGGGTCCAGAAGATTCATGGAATCACTGACTCTCAGAGCTAGAAGGACTTGAGGGATTGTTTGGCCCAACTTCATAGTTTTGTAGATGTAGAAACAGATTCAGAGAGGCCGTGATGGGCCCCTGATCCCAGCCGGAGGGAGTGGGACAGTGGGAAGCAGCCCCAGTTCCTGACTCTGGGTTGGGCTCCGTCCTGCACCTCATGGCAGCACTGAGGATCTCACAGGAGGCCCTGTCCACTCCACCAGTACCCCCTGCCCCACCCCAGGGTACTCACCAGCATGGGCAGGCTCATGGCCAGAGCCCCCACCCGACAGCAGTGCCACCCGGCCCTTGAGGCTGTCCAGGTCAGAACGGAGGGCCACGCGGTGGCCCTGCAGCAGCTGCAGGTTGGGGTTGCAGGCCACCAGGCCAGCAAGGGCGTCATCAGCACAGCCAGCCACCGAGTTCACCAGCTTCTTGGAGGTCTGCAGGGGAGGAGTGAGAAGGATGTCAGAGTGTGGTCAGCACAGACACCCCCATCCTGCCCAGCCACACTGCTGTTGTGTAGACCCCTCTCCCGCATCCACCTACGAACTCCAGGAGCGTAGGACTTCCTTGAGTTGGGTGACAGGTGGGTATTTCTGTGAGTTTTCAATAATGTGTGACTTTCTATTCAGTACCTAATTTATGAAGTGTCTTGCACCATACCTTCAATTTATTCTGAAAAAATGGCTGCAATACAAAGAAAATGGGGGAGTTGTTGTCTGCAGTGTAAAATATTTTAATAAAACTGGGGCCCAACACCTTCTTCTGTCAAAAGGAAGAAAAGCCCCAGGCTGAGGCTCCAATGCTGGGGGAGGAGCTGAGCAGGTTTCACAGCCACTGCTGATCCCTGGTGCTCCAATGTGGGACAAACATTTCCCCAGCCTCTTGGCATGCCAGGCCCAGTGCTAGACAGTGTGTAGAGATAACAGCCCAGGTGCGGTGGCTCATGCCTGTAACCCCAGCACTTTGGGAGGCTGAGGCAGGCAGATCGCTTGAGCCCAAGACTTTGAAACTGGCCTAGGCAACATGAGACTCCATCTCTACAAAAAATATGAAAAATGATCCAGGCATAGTGGTACATGCCTAGAGTCCCACTACTGGGAATGCTGAGGTGGGAGGATCGCTTGAACCTGGGAGGTCATGGCTGCAGTGAGCTGTCATCATGCCACTGCACTCCAGCCTGGGTGAGAGTGAGACTCCATCTCAGAAATAAAAAAAGAGATAACAACGCTATTCCTGCCCTCAGGGGAAACATAGCAGAGGTCACAACCATGTGTGGTGGGCACCGCTATGCGAGGAGTGCACGTGCACCATGGGAGCATGGAGGAGGGGCCGCAGCCTCCTGAGGGGCCTGGAGGTCTCTGTGAAGGATAAGCAGGACCGGGGTAGGCAAAAGGGGGCAGGAGGTATGGGGGGAGGGAAAAGGGAGGCTCTTCCAGCCAGAGGGGGAGCATAAGCCAAGGCCTGGATGAGTGAATAGTGTGGTGGTGCCAGGAAGCATGGTTGACCAGCAGGGAGGGGTGAGGAGGAGAGGGCTGGCCACAGGCAGCCTCAGGAGGGGTTGTGGGCAGGCAGGTGGAGGGTTGCAGAGCAGCACCGCCAGGCTTGGCTGAGTGGATACGGGGTGCAGACAGAAGTGAGTAGCGTGGGGGCCAGAATGGAGCGTGGCTTGAGCTCTGCTGTTACAGGGACTTGGGTTCAAATCCCACTTCTGCCTCTGATTAGCTGCCGGAACTCAGGGAAGATAACATCGTTGTTGGGAGCTATAATTCTTCCTCTGTAAAATAGGGATTTACTAGAACAGAGTATATGCCCGTGATATAGTGGAAACTCAATCACAGGAAGCGACTCCCTTTTTCAAACAGGCTGTGAAAAGCCTGAACAAGGGCTGTAGCCCCTGGTTTTGTCCTGAAGACAGAGACTGGGGCGCAACCTGGACTCAGAGGGCTGGGCTCCCACCGCCACCTGGTGGCCCAATGGGAACCTGCAGCTGAGCCAGGGCCTGGCAAGGTGAACTTCTGGCTGTGGCTTCTTCCTGACCCGGCTAGCACCAGCTCCTTTGTACAAAATTTGGCTCTGCTGTACTCCCTGCCAACCTGTCCTGCACCCAGCTAGGGCCAGGGCTAAGCCACCTGCTTCAGAGTAGCCTAGGTCTGTAGGGAGCGAGAAGAAGAATAAGATTGGTTCCATTTGCCAAGCAGTGACTAAGC